CAACAGAAACCACCTGTGGTTTCTCTCCAGGACCCCTCTTGCCAAAATTTGCTCCTTCCTGCTTTATGAAGTGGTAAGCACAATGGTCTAACCTGCTATCATCATATTTAAGGGATCCTCTAAACACTGCCATGGCTTAAATTCGCTAAAATACATAGTTTCAGGAGTTCTGACAAGAGTCCAGCCGCATCCCATCTGTGGTGCTTGGCTTAATGACGAAACCTGTTTAATTTATTTTGTAATTATAAAAAAAAAAAAAAAAGTGTAACATTGACTGAGTGCCTCGACCCCTTGAGGCACTCACTACAGGCAGAGCATCGGAAGCCTGCCTTATGGCTTCCAATGCTCTGCCTCACTGCCGGGCTCCACGTGGAGCAACCCTGAAGTGATCGCTCCGGAGGGAGCGATCACTGGGTAATCTCTGGTGGCCTCCGGCAGTGAAGGGGTATTGCAGCGATGCCTCAACATTGAGTCATTGCTGCAATACCATTAGAGCTGCTGGAAGCGATCATGATCGCTCCAACGTTCTAATTCCCCATAGATGTATCCGGTACGTCCTTGGTCCTTAAGGACCGTTTGTCAGGAAGGGGTTAAAGACTCCAACATAGAATATTAGTCAGAATGAGTTTTGTTAAACTGAACCTGCCACAGCATGCTCACTTTAAATTAAATCCCCCAAAGCCAATGAACACACCATTTATTGTAGATATACAAGATATAAACAATAGGAAATTTTAAGATCTTATCTCGCCTCCCCTCTGGTCCCAAACCATCACACCTTCACCTTTGTATGTGTAACACCAATGTAATACAAACTTCCAGTTAACCATTCCTCCTAGTTGGAGGCATATCAGGACAGAAAAGATTTGGTGAAAATGACAAGATTACACCTGGATTTGCCACTCATATTTACTACAGCCAAATCTGACAAATTTATCAAGCACTTTTTTGTATCCAGTAGGATGCACATTTGCACATTTATTATTCACTTGCTGCTTGAAAGTGAATTGGGGGAAAGAAAATTCAAACTAATTGCTCACTGGCAGCAAGAGGCGAAATAGGCAAATATACCAATAGTCAAATATCGTAAGGGTTAACCATTCAGTAGCTGGCTAGCACTTCATAATCTGCCAGCAGAAAAATAAATGTAAAAAAACACAAATTCATCTCTGTGTCTTATTGGCCCCAATTGTATATTACCATGAGAAGGAATGACTCTTCACTTATGCCCTCACCCATAATTGTGGAGGTGTAGACATAATTACTAAATGGTGAGCAGCCATCAGCTGCTCCAACATTAAAACTTTATTTCCAAGGCAAAGGGATGTAGAATATTAGAATAAGGGTGGGCACTGTCTGTGCTAAATTGGTCTCTTAACCCCTCATCTTAATAGTAATACTAATAATAAAAGGCAACAAAATGAAAAAATAAAACCCATCACTGAGCTGCAGTTATGGGGGAGGGGGTGGGGACTTTAAAGTATTCCTTTAAGCCATCTGAAAAATTGTTTAACACCTGGAGGTAAGACACTCTAGCCCCTATAACCACTTCATTGAGATCAAGTTGTTAGGTGTTGGGGCGGGGCAGTAGTCAGGTGGGAGTGTTCCTTTAAAGTGAACCTGTCACACATGGATTTTCAACATAACTTAAAGGAAGACCATAAAATGTTATTTAGTTTGACACGACTGAGTGTGGGTTCTCCTTATTTGCTTTTTTTATTCTCTAGAGGTAGGAAAGTGAACATTGCTCTTTAAAAATACAGACTTATTCAGAGGCCAGTTTATAAAAAGGTCTATATTCTACAGCCATTCAAAAATCTACCTCTTGCCCTTATTACTTTAAAATAAAATGCTTTATAAAAAAAATAAAAAAAAAAATTCAATTTTACAATCAGCTAATTTTATGTAAAATGAAAATGCATGTTTTCTTACCCTAATCGTTGCATTGTTGCCCCTAATGGTCAGGAAATACCAGGTACTTTCACGTCTGTTAGTCTAAAACACCTGTATGAGACAAAATACATTTTAAGAGATCCCTCTCTACATACCTCAAAACAGAATTCACGTGTCATGGTTGATTATATATTTCCTGCCTGTTCTATGTTAAATTTTGTATATATTGTGTATTAATATTGTTTTTGTATTTTGTTGTACCTAATGTAACAATGCAATGATTTGTGGACCCAGGACATACTTGAAAACGAGAGACATCTCAATGTATCTTTCCTGGTAAAATATTTTATAAATAAATAAATACTTAGCAAATTGTATTGTGTACAGCACACCATGCAACCACAACCACAAACAAAAGAGAAGGAAAGCAATTACTAATTTTGCTATTGCATTTCCTTTATGCTGGATATTTATACTGGTTTGCCACTATAATTTTCTGCGCATGCAGTTTTTTTTAGTCATTTATTATTTTTGACCAATATTTCATGTACACAATTATTAATTTTTTGGGTGCTCGAATTCGGTTGGTAACTTTTTCAATTGCATACAACACGTTTACTCTACCCTCCCGGCTGTAAATAACTTCACATAAAATTGTTCCATCACCATCTCTGTTCTTCAGGCCACACTCCTAGAATCAACAATACTGAAGGCTCTGCATTTTTTTTTTTTTTCTCAGCACTACCCACCCAGGCTCCCCCTAAATATATAGCATGCTCCTCCAGCTGTTTGAGAGACTCACTCAATTACCTCTTCATTCCCTTTATATTTTACCAATAGTTTTAACTCTCTGTTAACTTCTTTTAGCCATCACTTCCAAATTTCTCCAGCTACCAGCTGGCAGGCTAAAGACCAGAGACCAAGCAGGAGGATCCAAACCATAAGTAAACTTATTTTGGGTGTGTGGGTGGGTGAGTGACAGAGTGAGTGAGGGTGGGTGACTAAGTGTGGGTCAGAGAGAAACAGAAATGGAAATCGATAGAGATTTCTATATATAGCATACAAACCTTTGGCTTAGGAGGGTTGCCATTGGAGGGGGGGCGGGCATAGACAGCGAGCTGAGCGGTCAGTCAGCTCAGCTCACGAACGTGCATACTGCGCACATGCGCTGTAGAGTGCTCAGTTCTTTCATAGAGTCCCATTCAATGCCGCTCTATGAAGAACCTGATTGGTGCAGTGCGAAGCCACGCATGCGCACCAGAGCGTGATGACGCTTCTCAGAGAGAAGCATCCTAATGGGCCCTGCGAATTCGTCATTTTGATGAAAAATGGGGCGTGGCCTGACGAGGAGCTCGGCGCTAGAACGGAGGTAAGTTTTAATGATAAAGGCAGAAAAAAAATTTTTTTATTAGGGGGAAGTTCATATAAAAGCAAGAAAGAAGGCTAAGGAACATGTCTTTCTTGCTTTTACTATTAAAGGATCACTATAGTCAAGTAAACCAAGAGATTAAAGGGGCACTGTCATGGCTGAATCCCATTTTTTTTTTTAACCCCCCTCCTGCCTCCACTACATCTAATTGAACCCCTAGTCACCCCCAAATGCCCCTAAGCCCCCCATATTACTTATTTTTTAATCTTTATTTTCTGCCCCGATCTATATTCAGGGCGCCGCCATCTTTGTGTTGGTAGAGGAAGTCCCTGTGGGACACGTCATCTGCCCACACTAGATAGTGCTGTGAGATTCCCGCACATGCCCAGTGAAACACCTGGGCATGCGAACGGGAATTTCATCTATTCATTCGTCAGAAAGCCGAATGAATGAATAGCATTGTCAGACGAGCAAACAAACACTGAACATCAGTGTTAGTTTGTTCATTCAGTTCATAACCCCCCCAGCACCCACCTCACTCTATGGGGGTCAATATGACCCTCATAATAGCATAAGGGAGATTAAAATCTCCCCCATGCCTCTACTCGCTATACCGCGAGTAGGGGCATGTCCACTAAACAGTGAGCAGCCTGTGGTTGCTCACCACAAAAAAAAAAAAAAATACCAGCATAAAGGAAACCTACTGTCCTCCCCCCTGAGCAGTGGGTGGGGGCCCTAAAAAACAATAAGGGGGGGACCTACTGTTCTTCCCTCCCTGGCCCCCACCCCTGAGCAGTGGGTGGGGGCCCTAAAAAACAATAAGGGGGGGGACCTACTCCCCCGAGAGGTGGGTGGGGGCTCTATATAAGAATGGTAGGGGGGACCTTCAATCCCCCACCCCTGAACGGTGGGAGGGGCCCTAAAAAACAATAAGGGGGGGACCTACTGTCCTCCCCCCTGGGTCCCAAGCCCCTAGTCACCCCCCCAACCAAATAAGACTATCCCCTACCTACCCCCCTCACCCTAAAAATAGGGGGGAATAAAATAACTAACCTGTAAACAAAAATTAAACTTTCCATTTGACGTCTTCGTTTTTCTAAAATCTTAATTTTTCAGCTCCAAAAAAGGACAAATAAAAAGCCATCATACCCAAACTTAAAATAAAATTTTAAAAAAAAAGGCGCAATGTTGAGGTATAGGCTCCATCTCATATTAATCGAGTTACTTGCTAAACCTAGCCTGATGCAATTAACGTTGACAGAACCCTATTACTTCACCTCTGTTCAGTTTTTATATGCCATAGCCTGGTCCTAGCCTGTATTTAAATAATAAGCAACTGAGTAATCGTTCTATCCTAGCCTGCAATAACAACCAGTACAGGGTATCTATGCCAACCACACTGTCATTGACACTGCATGAGCACTGCCCTGCTAATCCGGTTGTATCGCTTTAGGCAATTCTCTACCCTATTTCACTCTACTGTACTCTACGTTACTTTACTTGACGTTTAACAACAAAAATATGGCAGTCTTTCTTAGGAGTGTATTGCATACCATATTGTAATCATTAACTTGTCTTTACTTAGTTGACCAATTTAGGTCTTTCAGCCTTTTAGTAGATAACTCCCTGATACCGTGGGATTTAGGGAGTTATCTACTAAGCAGCCACAGCACGAATAGGATCGGAGTTTCATTCATTCAAATGAAATTGCGATCCGAACAAAGTCCCGGATTGCATCCTAACATGAATGGAGAAACTGTTCTAATTCTGTTAGGATGCAATTCGGCACTTTTGCCGGCGTTCTGTCTAAGTGACAGGACATTCGGCAATACTGACAGGAAGCATCGTGAGAACAGGGAGGAAATCATTAACTTGTGTTACCCCAAAATTGCTCCTCTTTCTATTCTGTACCCCATAAAGCATATGCCATAATAAAAATGCAAAAAAAAAAAAAAAAAAAGCAAAAAAAAAAAATCCTGACGAAAAACAAAAAACCGAACGCAAAAAAATAAATTAATCCATCTTCACCCATGGAGGGCTCCGCGCAGACTGAGCTCTGCAGGGCAGTGGGAAAGCTTATAAAACCTTGCCCCGCAATTAGGCCAAGACCCTGTTGGAAGCGCCCATAGAGGGAGAAGAACTCGCCCAGGTCCTCAAAACGCTAAAACCCATGAAAAGCCCAGGCCCAGACGGCTTCACAGCCCTCTACTATAAAACGTTTCAGGCAATACTAATACCACACCTGTGCAACACCTTCAACTCTCTTCTACAGGGCCAACACCTCCCCCCGGATATGCTTGCTGCCGACATCTGCCTCCTGCCCAAGCCAGGGAAGGACCAACTGGACCCAGGGCACTACCGACCAATCTCTCTCCTGAACACAGACCTAAAAATTCTCACCAAAGCTTTGGCCAACCGTCTCAACACGTACCTCCCTAAGCTGATACACCCAGACCAGGTCGGCTTTATCCCTACAAGACAGGCTTCGGACAACACCAGACTAGCCTTTAACACAATCTGGTACGCTCAGAACCAGGGTATTCCCTCGGTAATGCTTTCGTTGCACGCAGAGAAGGCGTTCAACCGCCTTCTCTGGCCCTACATGTTTCAAACACTAGCTCACCTGCAATTCCCGGCTGGATTCCTAAACGCTCTGACGGCAATTTACAACCGTTCCACGGGGAACCTCCTCTTACCCAACGTCCCAGCCCAAACATTCGACATTGCGAATGGGACCAGGCAGGGCTGCCCCGTCTCCCCGCTCCTATTTGTAATTTTGTTAGAACCACTTCTACAAGCCATACGCAACCACCCCGACATCCACGGCATCCGAATTCGACAAGACACATACACGGTAGCGGCGTATGCGGACGACGTCCTCCTGACCCTCGTGGACCCGACGCCCTCCCTGCAAGCAACCCTCAAAGTGATAGCCGACTATGCTAGCTTTTCCGGATACAAAATCAATTTGACGAAATCTGTGCTCGTACCCATGGCGATGACTGAGCAACAAACCAGCCTCTTACGACAATCCTTCCCTTTCCAAAATCAATACGTCCCACTTCACATACCTGGGCACCCAACTGCCCCTCAATCTGGAAGATACCTACGAGCTCAACTACAAACCTCTGCTGGCTACAGCTCACCTAGACTTGCAACGATGGGACAGACTTGGGATTTCCTGGCTGGGCAGAATCACAACCATCAAAATGAATTTACTACCGCGCTTTCTGTACCTCTTCCAAACGCTACCCATCCCCATACAGAAAAAAAGACTTCAAAGAGCTCCAGGCCGCCATTGACAAATTCATTTGGAGGGCCAAAAAACCACGCATCCGCAGGTCGACCATGTACGTCCCTAAAACCAGCGGAGGCCTTGGGCTACCCAACTTCCTACAGTACTACAACGCGGCCCACCTGGCCCATGTCCTGCAGTGGCATGCGCCCCCGAGCGCCAAGCGATGGGTGGACCTGGAGCACGATATCCTGGGCTGGGACCAACCATCATCCTATATGTGGGTGCCCACCGTCCGCTCCCTCCGCCCACCTCTCCGGCACTCACCCACACGTTGGCACTCTGGGACAAACTCAACCCTAAATACGAGTTATCCTCTTTCCTGTCTCCGGTAACACCTATTTACCGCAACAAACTTTTCCCACCAGGGATGGTCGCACAGCACTTCCGCGAATTCGACCATAGGGATATCTGCAGGCTGCTCCACCTGTACTGTCAGGGAGAAATCGTCGCCTACCAAGCCATACCGAACAGCGACACGCTCACGACAGCAGATTACTTCCATTATATGCAACTCAGGGACCTGGCACGACATCCAATGATTAAACAGGCAGGGACCTCACCCCTGACAGCATTCGAGAAACGGTGCTTCAACGCACCCCTACACCCCGGACAAATCTCCGACTTATACGCCACCCTGACAACACATATCTCCCAAGTTAATCTCACCTACATGACCGCATGGGAGCGAGATCTTGGCCCACCGGAGGACCCGAGTGACTGGGCAGAAATATGGGAAGCAACGAACTCCCTGACAGTCTGCGTTACCCACAAAGAGCAAGCATACAAAACGTTATTCCGCTGGTACCTGACACCGCTCAGACTCCACAAAATGGGCCAAAAATCCGACAACCTCTGCTGGCGACTGTGCGGCGATACAGGCTCCTACTTACATTGCTAGTGGAACTGCCCCAAACTCAAGCCACTCTGGACAGAAAGTTGCGACCTCATAACACAAATTCTCCAGAAACCCTTCCCTGCGCACCCATGGACGATGCTACTCCGCAAACCGCTAGATTCCCTTACCAGGAACGAAAACAAGCTAGCGGCCCGGATAACGCTGGCTACTCGAAGGGTGATCGCGGAGCGCTGGGCAGACCACCGAATTCCCACAATCTCGACTATCATCAACAAGATCAAAGAAACCCGCAACTTGGACGAACTAACCGCACAGATACACGATTCATTTAAAGCGTTCCACCGAATCTGGGACCCCTGGGATACGAACAGCCCAAATTTGGCCTCAACCACACAGACCTCATCACCCCGCTGGCACGCGGCACCTGCCGGTACCGTCGCCTTGACCAGAACCACAAGGTAAGAGGGATGCACACCTTAGGGACACGCACAGACACCCTCAGCTCCCCCCCCCAGCCCTCCGAAAGCCATCAACCCAACAACACCTCCACCCCCTATACCTCCACCCCCCCGGGTCCGATAGGCCAACACCTGGTCTAAGCATGCAATCCCTCGCCCACATGAACAAGTTACGGCACAATCCGGCCTCCAATGACCGCCTCACGCATCGTGAGGCCAGCAACATACCACTTAGGCACAACCCAGGGTCCACCCGGGCATCAGGAGAACTAGCACCACACACCCCGGGACCACACAACTGGAACTGGATGGGCAACATTAACTCAGACCCACCGTAGCACGCAAATAGCCGAGTACCTGGGACCCTTCCCCTCCCTCTCCCCCATGCATATCCCCCCCCCTCCCCCAAACCGAAAAATCACCTAGACCAAACCCGTGACACGTTCGGCACACCAAACACTGGGCAACTACAGACGACTGGAAAATGCTTGCTAGAAGCTCACCAAAAGATGAACTGTATCACCTATTGACACCCCTCCCTTTCTCTCTTCTGTACCCCTTCCCCCCCCCTAAATTGAGCGTGAACTGAAATGAAATGTAATATACTGAAAACATTAAAAATAAAGAATTTATTAAAAAAAAATAAATAAAAAAATAAAAAATAAAAAATAAAAAAAAAAAGAAGGCAGATATGGTTCCTATATTCAAAAAGGGTTCAAAATCCTTGCCTGGAAATTACACGTGAGCTTAACTTCTGCAGTTGGTAATGTATTTGAAAGGTTACTAAGGGATAAAAGTCAAAAATTTCCTGAGAAGAACGTGGTTATCAGCAAACATCAGCATGGTTTTATGAAGCACGTCATGTGACACTAACCTGATTGCATTCTACGAAGAAGTAAGTAGAAGAATAGATAAGGGTGTTGCAGTGGATGTGATCTATTTGGATTTTGCCAAATTACTTTTACTACAATAAAATAAACATTTTTATTCAGCGATGTCTCACTTGTAAAACAGTACCCCCTATGTACAGGTTTTATGGTGTTTTGGAGAGTTACAGAGTGAAATATAGCATGTTACATTTTTCAGTTTTTTCACATTAAATTTGCCAGATTGGTTACATTGCATTTGAGACCGTGTGGTAGTCCAGGAATGAGAATTACCCCCATGATGGCATATCATCTGAAATAGACAACCCAAGGTATTGCAAATGGGGCATGTCCAGTCTTTTTAGTAGCCACTTCGTCACAAACACTAGCCAAAGTTAGCATTAAAGGGACACTATAGTCACCTGAACAACTTCAGCTTAATGAGGTTGTTCAGGTGAAAACTATAGCTCCCTGCAGCCTCCCTCATGTAAACACTGTATTTTGTTTCTGTACAGTGTTTATATTGAAAGCTAGGAACACCTCCTGTTGCAGTCACTCAGAGTGAACCAGAGGGACTTCTGAGTTGATGGAGGCATAAAAACATGAGGAGTTGCTTATTGGCCAGGGCTGTGTTTGAATCATGCTGGCTCTGCCCCTGATCTTCCTCCTTGTCAGTCTCAGCCAATCCTATGGGGAAGCACTGTGATCGGATCAGGCTATCACATGTCAACAGACTGCTTGTTTTTCCTGAGTCTAACAGTATGCAGATTTACAGCTTCTGGCTTGAATACAGTAACATTTTTACTATATTTATGGAGGCATGAGGGGCCCAGGGGGGCTAGATGGTCGTGTTAACACTATAGGGTCAGGAATACATGTAGTTGCACTGGTGACTATAGTGTCCCTTTAATATTTGTTTGTGTGTGAAAAATACAAAAAACTAATTTGAACGCCAATTTTGGCCAGTGTTTGTGACTAAGTGGCTTCTAAAAAAGACTGGACATTACCCCATTTGCAATACCTTGGGTTGTCTACTTTTGCAAATGGTATGCCATCATGGGCGTAATTCACATTCCTGGGCTACCATACAGTCTCAAAGGCAACGTAACCAATCTGGCGAATTTCAATCTGAAAAAACTGAAACACAAGCCTTATATTTGACTAACTTTTGAAAACACTATAAACCTGTACATGAGGGGTACTGTTCTACTCAGGAGACTTCCCTGCACACAAATATTAGTGTTTCAAAACCGTAAAATGTATCACAACAATTATATATTGTCAGTGTACGTGCCATTTGTGTGTGAAAAATGCAAAAAAAAAAAGTCACTTTCAATGATGATAGCTGGCTCCTAAATTCCAAGCAAATTTGTCCTGCCCTGTGGCAGTGAATTAGGGATAACACCACATGAGAAGGATTTTGGAATTGTTATAGACAACTAACTAGGCAACAATGTGCAGCATCAGTTAGCAGTGGCTAAGGCCAATAAGGTATTGTAATGCATTAAAAAAGGCATTCATTTTCAGGATGAGAAGATCATTTTTCCTCTATATAAATCACTGGTAAAAACCACATATTGAATATGCTGTGCAATTTTGAGCACCTATTCTCAAGAAGGATATTATGGCACTGGAAAAAGTGCAAAGGTGGGCTACAAAATTAATAAAAGGAGTGGAACATCTTAGCGATGAAGAAAGGTTAACCAATTTAAACCTCTGTAGTTAAAAAAAAAAAAAAAAAAAAATTGCCACGGAGGGGATATGATTCAGAAACAGGACATGAGGTCATACGTTTAGACTGGAAGAAAGAAGACAGTCTAAGGCAAAGGAAAGGATTTTTTTTACCATAAGAACAATAAGTATGTGGAATTCTATGCCTGAAGAAGTGGTTTTATCAGAGTCTGTACAGATGTTTAAACAGCAACTAGATGAATACTTGCGAAAACATAATTCAATTATATAATTTTTCAGCTGTAGGGTAATAGCTTTTTGATTCCAGGATACATCTGACTGCCATTCTGGGTCAAGAATAATAGTTTTTTTCCTGGTTTGTTGCAAAATTGGAAGTGCTTCAAACTGGGCTTTGTTGTTTTGTTTTTTTTGCCTTCTTTTGGATCAACAGATAACGGATGTGAGGAAGGCTGAACTTAGACACACATGTCTCTTTTCAGCCAATGTAACTATGTAACTTACACCCTAAATGGCAGTGAATTAGTGATAACACACGAGAAGGATTTTGGAATTGTTCAAGACAACAAATTAGGCAGCAATATGCAATGTCAATTGGCAGTTGCTCAGGCCACAAAAGGTATTGCCATGTATAATAAATATACAAACCCGATTAAAGAGAATCTAACACCGAGTCTGTAATGATTGTAGGGTAATTAGGGCATAACCCAACATAGAAATCAATAAGAAGATTAGTACAGATTAGTAAGAAACAAGCCCAATACCATTATTACCCTAAGCTGGGAGATCATTTTGACCATCTATATAGGATCCATCTGCTTGTCCACTTTTATTTATTTTCTATTTTTTCACATTTTTCTGGCACTGTTTTTTGTGTGTTTTTATAGAGATTTAATAAATTGTGAATTATAAATTAAGGTTTTCTCATTCCAATGTTGGAATAGTACTTTAAAAGGGACATTCCAGTGCCACACTGCAGGTACCCTCTCCCACCACCCATCCCATGTTGCTGAAGGGGTGAAAACCCCCTTCAGTGACTTACCTGAGACCCCCGCCGATGTCCCTCGGCATTCGTTTCGGGTCCGCCCACGCTCCTCCCCCGTCGATGTCATCCGGCGGGGGAGACCGATCTCGCATGTGCGGCCGCCGGCCGGGAAGACATAATGCACATGCATGGCAATGCCGCGCGCGTGCACATTAGACCTCACCATAGGAAAGCATTGAAAATGCTTTCAATGCTTTCCTATGGGGAATTGAGAGACGCTGGAGGTCCTCACATAGCGTGAGGACTTCCCACGACGCTCTAGCACAGAAAAACCTGTGCTAGAAACCAGGAAGTGCCCTCTAATGGCTGTCTAGTAGACAGCCACTAAAGGGAGAGTTAACCCTGCAATGTAATTATTGCAGTTTTTGAAAACTGCAATATTTACAACTGCAGAGTTAAGAGTAATGGAAGTTGGCACCCAGACCACTCCAATGGGCGGAAGTGGTCTGGGTGCCTGGAGTGTCCCTTTAATAAGGGACATAGGATTGGTATTGGGCTTGTTTCTTACTAGTCTGTACGAATATTATTATTTATTTGTCATGTATAAATAGGGGCATAAATTCTCTGAATTAAAGGACCACTATAGTGCCAGGAAAACACACTCGTTTTCCTGGCACTATAGTGCCCTGAGGGTGCCCTCACCCTCAGAGACACCCTCCCGCCCGGCTCTGGAAAGGGGAAAGGGGTTTAAACTTACCTTTTTCCAGCGCTGGGCGGGGAGCTCTCCTCCTCCGATCCTCCTCTTCTCCTTTTCCTCCTCCTCCAGGGCTGAATGCGCACGCGCGGCAAGAGCTGCGCGCGCATTCAGCCGGTCGCATAGGAAAGCATTTACAATGCTTTCCTATGGACGCTGGCGTGCTCTCACTGTGAAAATCACAGTGAGAAGCACGCAAGCGCCTCTAGTGGCTGTCAATGAGACAGCCACTAGAGGATTAGGGGGAAGGCTTAACCCATTCATAAACATAGCAGTTTCTCTGAAACTGCTATGTTTATTAAAAAATGGGTTAACCCTAGCTGGACCTGGCACCCAGACCACTTCATTAAGCTGAAGTGGTCTGGGTGCCTAGAGTGGTCCTTTAACATATCATTTTGCCTCTTTATAAATCGCTGGTAAGACCACACCTTGAATATGCAGTGAAATTTTTGGCACCTGTTCTAAAGAAGGATACCATGGCACTAGAAAAAGTGCAGAGATGGGCTACATAATTGATAAAAGGAATGAAGCATTTTAGTTATAAAGAAAGGTTAAAGAAATGTCAATTTCTTTAGTTTGCAAAAACAGCACCTCAGAGAAGATATGATCGCATTATACAAATATATTTGGGGCCAGTACAAACAAATGTCTGGAAATCTATTTATAAACAGGACTATATATATATATAGCACACAAGGTCACACATTTAGCCTGGAAGAAATGAGATTTAATCCAAGGATTTATTTTTCTTACAGTAAGAACAATAAGGATGTGGAATTCTCTGCCTGAAGAAGTGGTTTTATCAGAGTCCATACAGATGTTTAAACAGCAATTGGATAAATACTTCCAAAAACATAATATACAAGGTTATAATTTAAAAATTAGTGGGGTATTAGCTTCTTGATCCAAGGAGATATCTGACTGCCATTTTAGGGTCAAGAAGGCATTTTTTCCTACTTTGTTGCAAAATTGGAAGCACATCAGACTGGGTTTGCCTTCTTTTTTTATCAACAGTGAAAACATATGTGAGAAAGTTTGAACTTGATGGACGCAAGTCACTTTTCAGCTACCTAACTATGTATCTATGTGTCTCTCAGTGAGTGTGTATGTATATATTTAGGTAACCTGAAACTCTGCAATTAAGGGGAGTAAAAACTCTCCCCTTTTTTTCCCCACGGCGTGCTGGTGATGCCGCGGCTGGCGCCACCTCCATCATCAACCTTGACAAGCTCAGCCAGTCTGATGCTTCCTTATAGGAAAGCATTGGAAGACTATTGCGCATGTGCGGAAAAAGCCACGCTGCGCCAATCAACTTCTCCTCATAGAGATGCACCTCTGTTGGGAATGTTTAGCACCTCAATGTGTAGCACTGATCTAGGAAGCACCTCTAGAGGCAGTCAGAGTGACTGCCACTAGAGGTGTTACTAGTCAGCAATATAAACAATTCCTTTTGTCTGAAAAGTCTGTGTTTACATTGAAAAACGTGCAAGGACCAGATATAGACTTTAGAACAACTACATTATACTGTCTCTTCAATTCCATGCAAATTTGTCAAGCCCCGTCATAGGCACTTACCTTTTTACACAATAGAAAAGGTAACCCCTTTGGCGAGGTGGTAATTGTATTAATGGGAAACTATAGTGCTAGGAACACAAAACTGTTGAAATCGTTAAAAACACTTTTGTCACTTAACGGATTCCAGCGCTGATGTCCTCAGTCACTGGATCAGTACCCACCTTTGGATTGGTTAATTTAAATTTGTATATTATGTACTCTTTTTGGTGTTGTTTTACCTCTGCCATCACGATACAGGTTTTATAGTATTTTTAATGGTTTTTCTTGCCCAATGTACCTTCCCCAACAGTTTATATCGCCCCTTTGAATTTGACTTTATGTCTGTTCAACCATATTTTTACCTCTTTCATATTAAGAGCACCCACATATATATCGCTTTGTTCATGAGATACAGGACTTTCATTTCACATCAAATATTTGTGTTCAGCTATGTCTCACAAGTACAACAGTACCCCCATGTACAGGTTTTATAAGGTATTGGAATCTTTCAGGGTCAAATATAGGGCTTTCCCCTTTTCTGTTTTACAAATTGAAATTTGTCAAATTGGTTATGTTACATAGACTATATGGAAGACCAGGAATATAAATTAACAAAATCATGGCATATCAGTAGCAAAAGTAGACAACCCAGGATATTTAAAATTGGTTATGTCCATTCTTTTTTAGAATCAAAAACCCTGGCCAAAGTTAGCGTTCATATTTTGTAATTTTTTTTTTTTTTGCTGCATTTTTCCACACACAAATGTCCCTTTTACTGATATCGTCGTGATACGTTTTACGGTTTTGAAACACTAATATTTGTGTCCCAAGTACAACAGTACCACCCCATGTACATACAGGAAACATAGGCTGCAGAGGCAATGATGGCCTCCCTACTAGGCACCCACGAGAAACACACAGACATTTGGTACCCCTGGCTAGAATATATATCTAGAGGTGGAGTGGGAGAGGCCTTCTATAATGGCAATCTGGCACTGCGGACTGGAATGGCCGAGGGGGGGTGAAATGGGGACTGCAAGCTAACTTGGCCCTTCTCTTCAAGCAAGTTTCTACTTTCATTCTACTGTAACTGTCCTCCTGTTTTACTCTTATTCCTTACACACTTCTTTTAGTTTAGGGATAGTCCCTGCAAAAGAGCCATATAAGATAGTTTTCCTTGTACCAAAGGCACGACATTCGCCCTTCTTTGGAACAACTATGAAGTTCTGTTACCGGAATGCACTTCCCGGTTTCAGAGATATTGGGTATAGGCAACCCGGAAGTCACAGGGGTACAGATACAGAGAAAGAATAGGAAAGGAGGGGTGGAAGATGGGTAGGGAGTTAAAGGAGGGGGGGGAAAATTACGGACATGTGGAGGGTAAACGTTCTAATAGTGTGCTTTAATACTGGAGAATAGAGAACGACATGTTCGGGCTTGAAGCAGATGGCATTCGTGAGGTGGCAAAGCGTATTAGTGACACCCTAGCCTCCCTAGACTGATATTGTTGTGGAAATAAAATATGGACATATACACATATATCTTTGTAGTTAGTAAAATGTCTATTTACCCATCGCACTGAAATCAGTAGATAAGCTATTCACGCATATTTAGACAAAATGGCTGCTAGAAGTTTCTAACCCCTCCCTTCTTATAACCTCAACTAACTACCTCGTGTAACAAGATGGCGCTGAGATCTGGGGGAGACCCTCATGGTCTCAGTGACATCACCTCTAGTAGGCAGAGCACTAAGATAACTACTTAACACCTAACCAATTAATACCGTATTATTCCATGTTATCTCTGACAATGATTATGATGTAATTTTGCTTTAAAAGGGACTTGCCGTCCCCTCTGAATAAACATTCCTCAAGTTATTCAACTACCTGAAACTTGTGTCTGGTGTGAATTACTTCAGGGAGCGTGCACGCATTGTTTCTTTAATTTGGCCAGGGGCAGATACACTTTCCATTTCAGATATGAATATTTAATTTTGTACAATTACAATGAAATTACACTTACAAATATATTTAGAAAAAAAAAATACTTCATTCTAAGTGTATTTTGCATTTAACCCCTTAAAGACACCGCTTCAGAAGCTGGACATACCCTTAAAGGACCACTATAGTGCCAGGAAAACATACCCGTTTTCCTGGCACTATAGTGCCCTGAGGGTGCCCCCACCCTCAGGGACCCCCTCCCGCCCGGCTCTGGAAGGGGGAAAGGGGTAAAAACTTACCTTTTTTCAGCGCTGGGCGGAGAGCTCTCCTCCTCCTCTCCGCCTCCGTTACGCCCCGCCGGCTGAATGCGCACGCGCGGCAAGAGCTGCGCGCGCATTCAGCCGGTCTCATAGGAAAGCATTTACAATGCTTTCCTATGGACGCTGGCGTGCTCTCACTGTGATTTTCACAGTGAGAAGCACGCAAGCGCTTCTAGTGGCTGTCAATGAGACAGCTACTAGAGGATTAGGGGGAAGGCTTAACCCATTCATAATTATAGCAGTTTCTCTGAAACTGCTATAATTATGAAAAAATGGGTTAAGCCTAGAAGGACCTGGCACCCAGACCACTTCATTAAGCTGAAGTGGTCTGGGTGCCTAGAGTGGTCCTTTAAGGACACAAGCAATTTTTGCATTTTTTGCTGTTTGTGTTCAACTGAAATTTGCATCTCTCTCATTTATTGTACCAACACAGATTATATACTTTTTTTAGACAACAAAAAGGGCTTTAATTTGATGTGACATATACATATGTAAATTCTCATTTATTACAAAAAAAAAAATGCAAAATAATGTTTGACACTTTTTGCGTACCCATTTCACCGCCAATCCCTGCTAAATATTGGAGTAAAATAGTGTTTTTTTCTTGATTTTGGCATATACACATATAACAAGGTTTTTGTAATGTGTATTTCGTAAACCTAGTGTGTGCTATCCCTGTACAGAACCCCATATTTTGTTCAGCTACATCTGCTGAGTAAAACGATACCCCCATTGTATACCTTTGCCCCTATTCTGTGAAGCTACAATTCCACATAGGAGACCATGCTATTTCAGTTTCTATAGTTGGAATTTTCATAGATGGTCATATGTCTGATTTTGTGGCATTATAGCCATTTGACTGTTCAAATAACCCCACAAAGGCCTTCCATTTGAGAAAGCAGACACTCCAGGGTATGTTATTAGGCATATATTATACCTTAACTTGCCACCATTTTTTCAACAATTTATTTCAAAAGTTGTGGTGAGAAATGTTTTATTTTTTACATACATGTTGCATTTTCGCTGTGTATTTCTTACATTTGGTAAGTGCCACTGTCATAAATTCCCCCTAAGTATGCTCAGTTATCCTCTTCTGAGTAAAACAATATGCCCAATGTATGACCCAGACACTATTTTGTGAAGTTACAGTGCTGTAAAAGAGAGTGGTTTTTAAGTGTGAATTTACATTGAGAGATTTAATGGGTCCGTATTCTATTTTTAAATATGTTAGCAGGCTGCTTTTTCCAACTACCCCAAAAAGGTATACTATTTCTTAAAGGACCATTATAGTCCCAGGAAAACATACTCGTCTTCCTGGCACTATAGTGCCCTGAGGGTGCCCCCACCCTCAGGGACCCGCTCCCGCTGGGCTCTGGGGGGAGGAAGGGGTTAACCTTACCTCTTTCTCCAGCGCCGGACGGGGAGCTCTCCTCCTCCTCTTCGCCTGAATGCGCATGCACGGCAAGAGTTGCACGCGCATTCAGCCAGTCTCATAGGAATGCATTCACAATGCTGATTTCACAGTGAGAAGCACGCAAGCGCCTCTAGCGACTGTCAAGAGACAGCCACTGGAGGCTGAATTAACCCATTTATAAACATAGCAGTTTCTCTGAAACTGCTATGTTTATTAAAAAAAAAAGGGTTAACCCTAGCTGGACCTGGCACCCAGACCACTTCATTAAGCTGAAGTGGTCTGGGTGCCTATAGTGGTCCTTTAACCCCTTAAAGACCAAACTTCTGGAATAAAAGGGAATCATGACATGTCACACATGTCATGTGTCCTTAAGGGGTTAAAGAAGACGCCCGAGGGTATTTCAAAAGGCAAATTTTGAACCTTAGCGTGGGATAATTTTTCCGTTAGCTTGTATCAAGTGTAGTGGTAATAAGCATTTTTTTCTGTCTTTTTGACACACAGTGAGTTTGTACTGTATTATTTTGCAAACCTTATGTGTGCTACGGCTTTATAATACTTTATATATGTTGCTCAGCTATGTTGTCTGAGTATAGCAATACCCTCGTATGTACCTTTGCCAGGTATATGTGGACGTTGAAGGGGCACATTTCAGACACAGCCATTGCAGATTTTTTTCAAACTTTGAATTTTTACGCTGTGTTGTTACCCCACTTTGGAGTTTTTTAGCAGGCTATATATTCCAACTATCCCATAAAAGCATACTATTTCTTAAAGAAGACATCCCAGGGTATTTCAAAAGGCATATTTTGAACCTTTGCGCTGGATCATTTTTCCGCTAGCCTGTACAAAGTGTAGTGGTAATAAGCATTTTTCCTGCTTTTTTGACACACACAGTGAGCTTGTACTGTGTATTTTGCAAACCTTATGTGTGCTACAGCTATATAATACTTCCTATCTTGCTCAGCTATGTCGTCTGAGCACAGCAATACCCCCATATGTACCTTTGCCAGGTATATGCGGCCATTGAAGGGGCACATTTGAGACACAGCCATTTAAGTTTTTTCAAACTTTACATTTCTACACTGTGTCCATACCCCACTTTGGAGGTTTTTTGGTAGGTTAATTATTCCAGCTACCCCATAAAGGCATACCATTTCTTAAAGAAGACACCCTAGGGTATTTCAAAAGACATATTTTGAACCTTACCGTGAAATAATTTTTCCGCTAGCTTATACCAAGTGTAGTGGTAATAAGCATTTTTTTTATGCCTTTTTGACATACTCAATGAGTTTGTAATATATATTTTGCAAACCTTATATGTGCTACAGCAGTATAATACATCATATGTTGCTACGCTATGTCATCTGAGTACAGCAATACCCCCGTATGTACCTTTACCAGGTATATGACAACATTGAAGGGGCACATTTGAGACACAGCCATTTAAGTTAGAATTTTTACGCTGGGTCCATGCCCTACTTTGGAATTTTTTTTTTTTTTAATAGGTTGTGTTTTCCATTTACTTCACAAAAGGCACACCATTTCCTAAAGAAGACACCCCAGGGTGTTTCAAAAGGCATATTTGAAACCTTAGCGTGGTATCATTTTTTTGCTAGCCTGTACCAAGTGTAGAGGTAATATGCTTTTTCCCCATTTTTAAACATTTTTTGTGCTTTTAACAACTTATTTTACTATTTTAAAACTGTGTTTAACCCCTTAAGGACACATGACATGTGTGACATGTCATGATTCCCTTTTATTCCAGAAGTTTGGTCCTTAAGGGGTTAAACTTTTCAAAAGTTTCACTTGTTGTTTTTTTTAAACTTTTAACCCGTAACTAGCCTAAGCGTAAATCCCCCAATTTCCCCACTAACTTCTACCCACCCTAGCTAAATAAATATTTTAAAATATTTAAATGAATTAAATAAATTTAACCCCTGATGATTAAAAAAAAAGTTAACCCTCAGGGGTTAAAAAAAAAAAAAAACTACTGTGATTTGTATTTTGATCACTGCAGGCAGTGATCAAAGGGCAGGGAAGGGGTTAAATTTTATTTGAAAGAGGTGAGGGCGGATGGGATTTTGTAACTAACTGTTTTTGTTTACAGCCAGAGACAGATTAGCACTGATCTGTCTCTCTGCAGTTCACAGAGCGATCACATGGGCTGTGAAAGTGAAACTGCCCTTGGTAGTGTGCCTCCCATATGGAGACACACTACAGGAAGATTAACCCCACGATTGCAGCGATTGTGGCAATCAGGGGTTAATTTTCATTTTGGATGGAAATTTTCTGTCCAGCGTCCTTAAGGGGAGTGCTGCAATGACGGGAAATTTACATCCAGCGTTCTTAACAGTGGTGTATCCTGGTTTTGTGCTGCCCTAGGCAGGACAAAACTCAGGCACCCCCCTTCCCCCACGCCACCCCCACCCAACCCACCTTCTAAATACACACACACACACAGTCAGACACACACACACAGTCAGACACACACACACATTAACTTTTTTTTTTTTTAATCCCCAACCTCCTTACCTTTGGGAGTGCTGGGGGGAGGTCTCTCTCTCCCTGGTGGTCCAGTGGCTGCCGGTCGGGCTGGGCGGCTCTGGTTGCTGTGCGGGCGGCTGGCGAGGGAGCACTTCCTCTGAGCTGACTGCTCAGCTCCCTCGCGCACCGCCCGCAGAGTGAGGCTGGGAGCCGGAAGATGACGTCATATTCCGGCTCCCAGCCTTACTCTGCGGCGCGCGAGGGAGCTGAGCAGTCAGCTCAAAGGAAGTGCTCCCTCGCCAGCCGCCCGCCCAGCGCCGCCCGCTCGGGATGTCAGTTAGCCGCCAGGCTAACTAGGCATTTGCCCTGGGCATTTGGGGGGCGGCGTTTTTTGCCGCCCCCTGAAAAATGCCGCCCAAAGCAAATGCCTTGTTTGCCTCGCGGCTAATACGTCCCTGGTTCTTAAGGGGTTAAGGACTGAGCCAATTGTACAAAGTTGTGATCAAAACAAAAACGTTAAACCTGGAATTTGCGTTATGTCTCTTCAACCATAATTTCCCTCTTTCATATTAAATGCACCCACACTTATATATAATTTTGTTCGGGGAGAAATAGGGCTTTCATATCACATCCAATATTTATATATGAAACATAATTTAATATGAATAAAATAGAAATAAATGTGAGAAATTAAGAAAAAATTTTTAGTTCTGCATGGCATTTTAACTGTGAATGTCATACTACTGTTTGCTGTTACAGCAATAAAGTACACATATTTGTATTCAGAAATGTCTTACGAGCAAAACAGTACCCCCTATGTACAGGTTTTATAGTGTTTTGGAAAGTTACAGGGTCAAATATAGCATGTTAAATTTTTCAGAAATTTTTGAGATTGGTTATGTTGCTTTTGAGACCATATGGTAGCCCTGTAATGAAAATTACCCCCATGATGGCATACCATTTGCAAAAGTAGACAACCCAAGGTACTGCAAATGGGGTATGTCCAGTCTTTTTTAGTAGCCACTTAGTCACAAACCCTGGCTATACTATGTCGTCCAGCAGTGTTTAGGAACACCTCCTTAAGGACAGCATTGCAGGCCGCTATCCTTAAAGAGACACTGTAGGCACCCAGACCATTTCAACTCATTGAAGTGGTCTGGGTGCAATGTCCCATGTCCCTTAACCCTACAGTAGTAATTATTGCAGTTTCTGAGAATAATGCAATAATTACCTCTGAGGGTTAACTCCTACTCTAGTGGCTGTCTACCAGACGGCCACTAGAGGGACTTACAGAATCGAAACAGACCTTTAGTCCGTTATCTGACGCTGGACGTCCTCACGCTATACATGAGGACCTCCAGCATCAGATTTTCCCTATATTGAATAGTTCCTATGGGGAAATCCGAATGCAAGTGCGGCCATTGCCAGCAAGGGAGGACCCAGCGCTGAGGGAAATCGGTGCTGGACCCAGGTAAGTGACTGAATATTTTTTTACCTCTTCAGCACCACAGGGTGGGGGGGGCAGGAGGAGTCTATTGTGCCAGGAAAACAGGTTTGTTTTCCTGGCACTACAGAATCCGTTTAAGGAGTAAAAATATTTAAAAAAAAAAAAAAAAAACTGTTTAAAGGACCACTATAGCACCCAGACCACTTCAGCTCAATGAGGTGGTCTGGGTGCCAGCGCCGGACTCCTTAAGCGCTGGTGACACCTCCTCCCACTGCTGACATCAGCTCTGAATGCACATGCGCAGCCTAAGCCGTGCACGCATTTAAACCACCCATAGGAAAGCATTACTCAATGCCTTCCTATGAACGTCCAGCGTTAGTTGAATGTGCTTTTCGCTTTGAGGATCGCAGAAGCGGCCTATAGTGGCTGTCAGGGATACAGCCACTAGAGGCTGGATTAACCCTCACTGTAAACATAGCAGTTTCTCTGAAATTGCTAAGTTTTCAGCTGCAGGGTTAAAACTAGGTGGGCCTGGTACCTAGACCACTTAAAACATAGCAGTTTGAGTGTTAATCCAGCCTCTAGTGGCTATCTCCCTGACAGCCACTAGAGGCTACTTACGCTATCCTCAATGCGAATAGTGCATTTAACTCACGCTGGACGTCCATTGGAAAGCATTGAGTAATGATTTCCTATGGGCAGTTTGAATGCGCGCACTGCTCTGGTCGCGCATGCGCATACGGAGCGGACGTCGGAAGGGGGAGGAGAGGTCACCAGCGGCGAGGGAAAACAAACCACTATATAGTCCTTAGGTCTCCCACACCCTCAGGTGGGCTGAAGGGGTAAAAACCTCCTTCAGCCACTTACCTTAATCCAGCGCCGGGCTCCCTTGGCGCTGGTGATCTCTCCTCCCCCTCCGATGTCACCTCCCAAGTGGAGCCGGCCGCGCACGCATTCAAACCGCCCATAGGAAAGCATTACTCTATGCTTTCCTATAGACGTTCTGCGTGTTCAGTGCAATTTTCGCATTGAGCGTTGCGGAAGTGCCTCTAGCGGCTGTCAGGAAGACAGCCACAAAAGGCTGGATTAGCCCTTCAATGTAAACATAGCAGTTTCTCTGAACTATGTTTACAGCAGCAGGTTAAAACCTGGGGGACCTGGCACCCAGACCACTTCATTGAGCTGAAACGGTCTGGGTACTTTAGTGACGCCTCTGTCCTGCACTGGATTCCAGGTAAGTCTATGCTTTCTTTTATATCTTTATGAGGGAGACATACTTAGTAAATAGGGTAATATAGACTTTTTTTTTTATTTATTTTTTTAAGTTTCACAAAGAAGGGTTGAGCAAGTCATCCTTTAAATCCTAAAATCAAATAACACTTAAGACACACTACATTACAGCAAGCATAAAAAGCGGGTACATCTTTAAATTATAGAGAAACATCCCCCATTTGTATCTACGAGAGTATATTGCTTTAAATACAAGCATTTGCAATCTCAGTACAGAATGGAAAGTTACATTTAAAAAAAAAAACTATTTAGTTAATGTGTTATAGGTTCTTATTGAAAATATAAATATAAATGAGCAATTACCATATTGGATCTTACATAGGGTCTATTTCAATCTTCCTGCAAATCTAAATAGCGATGCTACTTTACCTTATAACTACGTAAATGGTAGATAAACACAGACATTCATTTGTTTAATCTAATAATTAGCACAAGAATTACAAAAATAATCTGGACTAATAGATCTACTGTACCTTTCTTCTCCAGTAATAAAAATGATAATGACGATAAATGAGTTTGGAAAATTAATTACCACACCAACCAGTTGCAAAGAAGAAAAACAATTGGTGTTTCCTTGTTTGTGATCTTCCTTTTTAAAGCCTTCTCTGTCTTTTTTTCTTCTCTGTGCTGCCTCTGATGCAAAAGCTGAGAGCTTGATTAAAGTTTCGTTTTCCATTTCCCCGTTTATCGCTTACGTAGAAGGCGGGGTCGTCGAATACACGTTAATATATTTTTTTATACACCCTGCGTGTCCACAGTGTCTTCGTGTTATGACATTCTATATTGAAAACTCCACCAGTTCTGGAGCTGAACAATATAAATATGATGTAAAATCAGCGTTTGCAAAGAAAAGCTTTAGCTAATTTGACACAATTCCTATATTAAAAATATATATATATTTCCTTAAATTCCATAATTAATAGTCAAGATTATACTGTTTTGAATAAATAATCTGTTATATTACATCAATACATTTAGTTGACAGATGTTTAACAACAATAACATGTATATTTTAAAATATAAATAGCGAAATTCTGAGAATATTGTGCACTTTTGTATTGGTTTATGAAAGTATATCACTACTTATCTTTATGCAAAACTAATGTAAAATTGATAGAGTATGAACTAATTGTATTGATGTATTATAAAATATTATTTGTTCAAAACAGTGTAATTGACTATTAATTATGGAATTTATTATGATTACATGTTGGATGAGAATGTCTCCAACAATTATATATTGTTATCTTTAATGTATAAACTAATTTGCTTTTCTTCTATTGATATATATACACTGCTCAAAAAAAAATAAAGGGAACACTTAAATAACACAATGTAACTCCAAGTCAATCACACTTTTGTGAAATCAAACTGTCCACTTAGGAAGCAACACTGAGTGACAATCAATTTCACATGCTGTTGTGCAAATAGGATTGACAACGGGTGGAAATTATAGGTAATTAGCAAGACACCTCCAATAAAGGAGTGGTTCTGCAGGTGGTGATCACAGACCACTTCTCAGTTCCGATGCTTCTTGTTGTGGAAATAAGGTCTACACATATTTCCTAGTTAAAGGAAAATGTCTATTTACTCATTTTACAATATATATATATATCTCACATATAAAGCTAAGTACACATATTTCAATCAAGATGGCTGCTAGAAGCTTCTAACCCCTCCTTCCCCTCCCCTCCCTTTTTAAACATCGACTAACCACCTCGTGTAACAAGATGGCGCCGGAAAACCGTGGGAGACCCTCATGGTCCCGGTGACATCACCTGCAGTAGGCAGTGCATTAGAGCAACCACTTAACACCTAACCAATTATTGATGTATTATTCCATGTTATCTCTGACAATGCATATGATGTAATTTTGCTTTAAAAGGGACTTGCCGTCCCCTCTGAATAAATTTTCCTCAAGTTATTCAACAACCTAGAACCTGTGTCTGGTGTGAATTACTTCAGGGAGCGTGCACGCATAGTTTCATTGATTTGGCCAGGGGCAGATACACAAAGAAATAATCAATACTTTAATTGATTTTTCCACTTCAATTGGCGCCCAACGTGGGGCTCACCGGAGAGCCGGTTCGGAGAGCCGGAACCAACGGACCGGAGCGGACCTCCGGAAAGTGGGACAAGCGGAGCCTGATCACCTCCATAATACAGCCGTTGCCTGTGTTATTCTCCTGTTTTGTGCCGGTCTGTCTCCGAGTCCACTTCCGGCTTCCAGAAGGCTACTAGAGACAGGTAACTAACTCATCCGGTGCGCCCTTTTTCTAAGTGAACCTGTCGATTGTCTATCTGCCTCCTGTATTCATTTATGTGTGTGTGTTTATTATACCTTTAAGACATGTTTGCTTGACTGCCTAGCGGGCAGGGAACGCAGTTTATGTTTGCTTGACTGCCTAGCGGGCAGGGAACGCAGTTTATGTTTGCTTGACTGCCTAGCGGGCAGGGAACGCAATTTATGTCTGCTTGACTGCCTAGCGGGCAGGGAACGCGGTTTATGTTTGCTTGACTGCCTAGCGGGCAGGGAACGCATTTTACATGTTTGCTTGACTGCCTAGCGGGCAGGGAACGCAATTTATGTCTGCTTGACTGCCTAGCGGGCAGGGAACGCGGTTTATGTTTGCTTGACTGCCTAGCGGGCAGGGAACGCATTACAGCCGGTGGGGCTGGGTTTTTATGTTAGCTTGACTGCCTAGCGGGCAGGGAACGCATTACAGCCGGTGGGGCTGGGTTTTTATGTTAGCTTGACTGCCTAGCGGGCAGGGAATGCATTACAGCCGGTGGGGCTGAGATTTTTGTCTGATTATTGTAGTATTTCCGTTGGTACCAGTGTTTTGCCGGGACCAGCCTGGTGGGTGAAGGCTGGAGATCGTTATATTCTGAATATCTGACACCGGTGGTGTTAACATGTACATGGCCATTTTGCTCTCTATCATTCTGTGGTTTCTGTTTAATTGTTGTTACAGTGTGGGTACCCTTGGTGTGTGTGTGTGTATTGTGTGGTTAGTTCTGGATTCCGGAGTTTATGCTCATTTGTATGTTTGTGATTTTTGCAAATGTCTTCTCATTAGCGCAGCCACGTTCATTTTCTCCTTTGTTCTTTATCTCTCCTGTGCCTGTTGCCCAGAGCTGTGTTAGTCACCCACGCTCATTCGCTCCCGTCCGTGACCACCACCCCGGGTGGGCGGATCTCCGTGACTAGTCTACGTTTGGGGAAGACGCACGGGGCTCAAGTTCTCGTGGCAGTCGAGCACTGTAGACATTCTTTTTTCCCCTACACTTACTATACTTCTTTGTCTTCCACGTGTGGCACGCTTTGGTTACTCAAATATGGGACAGGAACACGCTAGACCTGCTAAGGGCTTGCTAGCTTGTGACATTGTGAAAGAAAGGGCAGGTGAAGATGCAATGCTAAAACTTAAAAAGATTGCTAAGGTGTGTGGTTTCCAGATGTTGCCCAGCGGGAGATTACAACCTGAGTTTTGGAGGAAGTTACTTATAGACAAGGAAGGGTTGTTGTTGGATAATGGACTCACGAAAGTTGCAGAGGCTTGGTACCGAGTAGCTAGAGGGTTGAAAAGAGAAGGATGGGTCGAGGAAGAACTGGAAATTGAGGGGCAAATTGTGTATGTTTATCACAGGAGTGTTCACAATGATGATGTTGTTCCTATTGTTTCACGACCACCGCCCTATGATGGCGCCCGGAGCGCAACACTTAATTCTCGCCCTGTTTCCCCCGTCACGACGCAGACCCCACCTACTGGGGGTGTGTCTTCAGCTCCCACTCCCCTGTGCCCCGTGCTCGGTGCAGATGGTTCCTACTATTACCCAGTGCCACTTCATTCATTCCCTCCTGCTCCCATGTCTCAGCCCTCCTATGATCCAACCCCCTTCGTTAACCATCCTCCTGACATGCCTGTCGAAACCCCTCCGCTTTCATGTCCTTCGCTGCCTCCCCAAGTGACCGTCCCCACTCTGGACCTTACCATGGCTTCCCTCACCTCACCCATTGAAGTCCCACCACCCCCTTCCGCTTCTCTCTCAACCCCGAGTACCCCTTCCTTGATAGCCTCCGTTCCTTCACCCTCTCCGTCCATCACACATCCAACTCCCTTACCCCGTGCCCCTCCCACCTGCCCTATTCCTCCGAATCTCTGTCTCCCTGCTGACCCAGGATCCCTCCCTCCCGCGGCCGGTTTGCCGTCCCTAATCTCTGCCCTCACCGCCCTAACCCAGCCCCCTGTTACCACCTCTCCTCCAGTGTTACCTCCTCCTCCCGAAGTCCCGGCCCCCTCTACCTCGTTATCCCTCCCTCCCGCGGCCGATTTGCCGTCCCTAATCTCTGCCCTCACCGCCCTAACCCAGCCCCCTGTTACCACCTCTCCTCCAGTGTTACCTCCTCCTCCCGAAGTCCCGGCCCCCTCTACCTCGTTATCCCTCCCTCCCGCGGCCGATTTGCCGTCCCTAATCTCTGCCCTCACCGCCCTAACCCAGCCCCCTGTTACCACCTCTCCTCCAGTGTTACCTCCTCCTCCCGAAGTCCCGGCCCCCTCTACCTCGTTATCCCTCCCTCCCGCGGCCGATTTGCCGCCCCTAATCTCTGCCCTCACCGCCCTAACCCAGCCCCCTGTTACCACCTCTCCTCCAGTGTTACCTCCTCCTCCCGAAGTCCCGGCCCCCTCTACCTCGTTATCCCTCCCTCCCGCGGCCGATTTGCCGTCCCTAATCTCTGCCTTCACCGCCCTAACCCAGCCCCCTGTTACCACCTCTCCTCCAGTGTTACCTCCTCCTCCCGAAGTCCCGGCCCCCTCTACCTCGTTATCCCTCCCTCCCGCGGCCGATTTGCCGACCACACCCTCCGCCTACGTTGCTTTGCCACAGCCCCTTGTTCCTATCCCTCCAACCCCTTCCTCGGCGACCCTTGACGCACCTCCGTCCAATGACCTATCAACTTCAATCTCCGCCCTTTTCACTGCGGTCACTTCCCTGGTTAATTCCGCAATCCCCGCGTCGCCTCCCATCGATGTACCTCCTCCTCCTCCCGAGCCTTTGACTCCTCCCTTGTCTCACGTTAATTTCCTCGAGTCTTCCGATCCAATCTCTGCCCTTGCCCATGTCCTGAATACCCACCTCTCACGGCCAGCCCCGCCGTCCCCCATGGTGGCTCCTTCCACGGCTTTAGTTCCCCGTGCCCCTTCCGCCAGCACCAGCTACCCAATCATGGTGGTTGGGTCCGAGGTGTCTGCGACCTCGGACCAGCCCTATGCGATGGGTGCCTCCCCCCAAGCCTTGGGTTTCCACCCAATTACCTCTCCTATCACCCCCTTCCCAGTTGCCCCCGCTACAGCTACCCCTGAGGCTATTCTTCACCGTGGTACAATAGTGCCCGAGGAGGTCGTTATGGTGGACCAGAGCCAACCCCAACTGGGGGGGGAAAGGCTTCCCCAACGGCACTCACTTCCCCAGGGGTATACTCAGATCAACCATGGGGCGGATGGTGCACCACCTATGTACGTTACTTTTAACCCTTCCCAAGCCGCTACCCTTGTAACTTCACTCCCTGATCCTGAGAAGCACCCCATGCCCTTTTTCCGCAGGGTGGCTCAAATCCGTAAGACATATTCCGCTGCATGGCGGGACCTTATTAGTTTATGTGAAATTAAGGCCGGAGATGCATACTGGCCAATCATGGAACGGAGCTTTAGTGATGCTCCACTTACTTCTGATACTGATTTCCATTCTGGTGAAATTTTCTGTGAACAACTTCGTGCCTGGGCGCAGGATAAACTAGCTGACCAGGCTACTTGCATTAATGATATAATCCAAGACAAACTTGAGACCGTTGAAAAGTACCATTCTAGGTTGACTCAGACATTCTCGGACTTAGGGTTCAGTACTTACAACAAGGCACACACCCAGATGCTCTCTGCAGCTTTCGTGGCAGGACTGAGAGAACACATTCGCAAGGGGTTAATTTTAGCTCGCCCTGAGTATAGAATTATTCCACTAGACACTCTTTTGTTAGTAGCCAAGGGCCTAGAATCTGTTTTACAACCCACACAGCGCAGGGCTAGCCCACTGATGTACACCGCCCCCACACCTATCGCTAGTTCTAATCAGGTCCCCCAGGTATTCCCCCAACAGTACACTCAATCACCCCACGCACTGCCTGCGCCAATCCCTTTCCCCCGGGACCGGACCATTATGACAATCCGGACCTGTTTTAATTGCAATCAACCAGGCCACTTCAGAAGAGATTGCCCACAGCCTAGGGTGTTCCGCCAGCCTAGTCCCCGGTACCAAGGTCCCCATGTCACCGGCCATAACTACCCTTCCCCTGGTTACCTCCCCGCCCTTCCCCATCCACATTTGCCTCAGCTTCCTCCTCCTCCTCCCCCTCCTCCTCCTGAATACACTCAAGCACGGCCCCCTGTATCAGAAGCTCACACGTATACTCCACACTCTGCAGAAGGGTTTGATAATGATGATTTCCAAGACGGCCAACCCCGTCCTACCCTCCGCCCATCCCGCCCTCCCATGCATTCTGCTAACCCCCCTTCTACTTCCCGCCGGTACCAGGGACCAGACCAGGCCCATTTAGATTTATTACAATAGGTAACCGGCAAGCCTGTGTCAGCAACCCCTGCCATGGCAGTGTCTGCGGGGGATGGGGGGGCCCTCTAGCTACTGTTGTTCTCCCTGTGGAGGGCCACCCCACCACTTTCCTGGTTGACACAGGTGCAGCCCGTAGTGTCCTTAGGGAACAAGACCTGCCTGACCCCTCTTTCTTATCTGACACTGATGTTTCCTGTGTTGGGGTGGATGGTACCCCACGCAGCAACCCCCTTACTAAGCTCCTACATGTAGGTTCACACATCCTCTCACGCTTTGTGGTTTCCTCTACTTGCCCCATTAACCTCCTAGGTGCCGATGTTCTCTCTCGCCTCCAGGCCTCCATTACCTTCACTGCAGATGGGCAGATTGAGTTGACAACTCCCTTATCACAAAAAGATACCTCTGTCCTCTGTTCACTCCCTATTTTGTTAAACCTAACTGACAACTCAGGGGATGCACGGGTCCCACAAACCCCCAGTGCTCTGGACCGTATCCCACCTGATCTTTGGTCCACCGGCCCGGATGATATTGGACGTTTGCATGTGCCCCCGGTCTTGGTTCAGCTCCTGCCCGGGGCACAGCCTCCTCGCAGACCACAATACCCTCTAAAGCCTGCACAAGCTGAAGCCATTACCAGACAAGTTGAAAGTCTCCTTACCAAAGGTGCCCTCATCAAGTGTTCGTCTCCATGCAATACTCCACTTTTTCCTGTTAAAAAGAGAACTGTTAAAGGTCAACCTGACCAATATCGTATGGTACAAGATCTCCGTGCTGTGAATGATGTGACCATCAAAGACACTGCCATTGTTCCTAACCCCCACACCCTCTTATCCCAAGTCCCGTCAACTTCAACAATATTCACTGTGGTGGATCTAGCTAATGCCTTCTTCAGTGTCCCCCTTGACCCTTCATGTCGTTTCCTCTTTGCCTTCACCCATGAAGGACAGCAATACACCTGGACTGTCATGCCCCAGGGGGCTCAGAATTCCCCCACACAATTTGCACACGCCATGTCACTGGTGTTGGAACCCTGGCAACAATCTCATTTGGATGTCGTCCTGCTTCAATATGTTGATGATCTCCTTCTCTGTGCTCCTGATTTACTCACTGCGGAGCGTGATTCAGAAGACCTCCTATGTTTTCTTGCTGCTGCTGGTTGCAAAGCCTCCAAATCCAAGTTACAATGGTGCCGGCCCTCTGTGGTCTTCTTGGGAAACTGCCTTTCCCATGGCACCAAACATCTCACCTCCCAACGTGTACAAGCCATTCTGCTCCTTCCACTACCTGCTACCCACCAAGCTCTCCATGCTTTCCTGGGTCTAATCACGTACTGCAGATCCTGGATACCCGAAGCATCAAAACTCATGCAGCCACTCTATGATGCCCTCAGGAGCGAACCTTTCCATCTCACAGAAGAAACTATCATCTGTTTCCGCACTCTGAAAAGAGCTATTGCTTCTGCACCTGCCTTGGGCCTACCAAACTACCAACTTCCCTTCAACCTTTTTGTCTCTGAAAAATCAGGACATGCTTCCGGAGTCCTCACCCAAAAACATGGCTCAAGACAACGCCCTATTGGCTATTTTTCCTGCATGCTTGACCCTGTTGCAAGGGGTAGCCCCTCTTGCCTCCGAGCGGTGTTCGCCGCCAGTGCTCTCCTGGACAAGACCAATGACTTTGTTCTTGGCCATCACCTCACCGTGTTGGCCCCTCACGATATTACTGCAATCTTACAACAAATCCGCCCAAAACACCTTTCTTCACAACGCCACCTTCGCCTACAGACATCCTTACTCCTACCTGACAATGTGAAACTCCAGAGATGCCTTTCCCTGAACCCAGCCACTCTTCTGCCACTACCCAAGGGGGGAATAGTGCATCACTGGTACAGCCTGGACATCAACCCAGAGGTCCGAGCAGATTTACAATTGCCTGTGTTTACACCTTCCCCTGATGATGAACAATCAGAGGCCCTACTCCACTGTGTCTTGTGGTTTAGGGACATACCAAACCCTGACGTGGACTATGAGGAAGAACTATTTCAGCTCAAAGACATCCAAATTACCTTGACTGACTTGTTTTGGGACTCCACAGGTACCATGCTCATTCTGGTACATCTTCCAGACAATGCAGTACACCTCTACCACCATTGGGAAACAGCTATCCCACACATACCCCTCACCAGATCCCACGACATCACATGGGAGACCCTAGGGCCGAAGGCCAAAACTTGGAACCAAATGACTCCAGAACAACTGACTTCTGCAGGAATAAATAAAAAGACAATTAACTACTACACAACAGGACACTCCAGGTACCACATAGAGGCCTGTGAGGACCCACCCACCATAGACTGCGACCTTATTAATATCCCTCACGACTGTTTTGAACAAATGAAAATGGAAACTACACACCTACCAACTGTTTATGAAGCTGCATTACTCAACCCGGATCAGACACTATTTGTGGATGGCTCAAGGTTTGCTGACAAACAAGGACAATACCACACTGGATATGCAGTTACCACAGGATGTCAAATATTACTGGCAGCTGCCCTACAACCAACTAAATCTGCCCAAGAGGCCGAGTTAATAGCCTTGACTGTGGCCTGCAAACTGTCCGAAGGCCTACGAGTCAACATTTATACGGACTCAAGATATGCCCTGGGAGTGGCACACGATTTTGGCTTAATCTGGAAGACCAGAGGATTCCTTACAGCTGCCGGTACCCCAGTAAAGCATGGGGCAGCCATTGCAGAACTGATGGACGCATTGGAACTCCCAGCAGAAGTGGCAGTATTGAAAGTAAAAGCTCATGGAAGATTAGACACAGAAGAAGCACGTGGCAATAGCCTGGCTGATCAGGCAGCCAAAGAGGCAGCACGACAAGGATGGGAAGTGGACAGAAGAGTGGCCACAGATGCATTACCAATTTATACTATGCAAACATTACCTACAGACCTCAGGCTGCTGAAGGAACAGCAAGTTGCTGCCACTCCTCAGGAGAAACAGAGTTGGAAGAACAAAGGAGCAATACTCCGTGATGAAGTTTACACTATTAATCTCAAGTTCTGTCTACCTAGAAGTATGTACCCAGCGGTGGTCCAATGGGCCCATGGGCCAGCCCACCTATCAAAACTCCTGATGAATTCACTGATTGACAAGTATTTTGAAGCACCAGGCATCACTACCTTAACACAGAATTATTGCAAATCTTGTACTATATGTGCTAAGTGCAACCCTGGAAAGATCATAAAGAC